AAATTGTCATCGTAGGTGCATGTCCACTGTGAGAGACAAAATAAAAAAAATACAAAAACAGAAATCCCAATGTATGATTTTTAAACTATTCATTTGTATGATACAGCTGCCAATAAGTTTTAGTTACAGCTTTGAGTCCAGGTCTGAGTCACAGACTCTGGGATTTAGTGTTGAGCCCCTGGATTCAGGCTGTGTGACAGAGACAAAGAGAGAGCTTCTTTATTAATCCTGAGGGAAATAAAAGAAATCCTGAGCTATAACCAAACAAACAAGTCTCATTCTGTGTATGTAGTTCCTCTGGGGAACCTCTGGGGAACCTCTGGGGAACACAGGTCCCTGTACGGCATCAGTGTGCTAACCCCTGACCTCTGACCCAAACCATCTCACACTGGATGTGGGTGTGGAAGGTCTTCTCGGTGTCTTTAAGGGGTATAAAGGTGTCACATTGATTTACAACTCTGATAAAGGAACCATCTTCTTTTGTGGGAGATTCCCGTCTGGTCCTTAGAATTGCCATTCCTCCCCAGGCATGCTGATGGACTTTCAAAAGAGTAAATGTGAGCATGCTACACCTGGGTCTGTTTTCATTGTCCTGTTAGGTGTGATTAGTGAGGTGGTCCTGTCCAGAGTGAGGCATTTTTCTGATGGGTTTCATCACAGATGAAACCCATCAGAAAAATGCCTCAGAAACATGGTGTTATTTCTCTCTGCTTAACTAAAGTAAGAGTTCAGCACAGTTTCAGTGTGAATGAAGGAAAAGTTCCCTACATATCAAATGACTAGTTCTAAAGACCCACATATGGACAGATAACTGCTGGCTTCATGTTGGGTGAATTAGCATGGCTATGGTGATTTGTAACTGTTTGTAACTGACTGTAACTGAGCTTTTGGTGTTGGAAGTGAAGAGATGAAAGTGAAGAGAAATGCAGAAAAATGTTGTTTGTTTGAAATTTAGATTTTGTTAAAGCTCATGCAGAGATCATTGAACTGTGCAGTAAGGCTGGCCTTCTTTTTCTAGCTGGAAACGCACTGTGAACAGAGAGATGACCCACTTCAGAGTGAATGTACAGCAGGGCTGTTGCTCAGAGCAATGAAGTTAATTTTAGTGCATTCATCCCTCATTGCACTAAAGAAATAACTGTTTACTTTGAAAATGTCCGTCCTCGTTTGGAGTAGACAGACTGGAATAAGTACAATAATTCTATGAAGTGTTTTAAAAAAAATAATTTTCAATTAATTTAATTAAATTCAGCTTTATTTTACAGGGTGCCAAGTCACAACTAATCTTGAAGCACTTTAAAGATGCAACACGATTCCAGACAATTAGAATTAATTTCACTGGAAGATGATCATAATAAAATCTAATATAGTTAATTTCCAAATTAGTGCAATTCATACATCTAAAACCTATGAAAAAGAATGCACAGTTAAGGAAAATAAGAGAATACATAAAATCTTCACCCTTTTCTGGGTGTGTCCATGGTGACTGGATAGAAAAACCTCTGGGGCCTGACTCAGGGCCTCAATGAGCCTTATTTTTTGGGTAAAATGTGTAACTGGCTAGTAATTTATTTAAACTGATCTTATTGAAAGAAAAAAGTATTTTCATAGCATGTTCTTAATCATGGAGCTAGCAACATATGTGCTCATTTAATTGGTATCTTACAAGCTGCTTGACTCTTTAATCCAGTGTGCAGAATTGTTTTTTAAGGACACTTTTACCACTAGTGACTTCAGAGATATGAGTGCTCTCGCCTCTGTTGTGTGCCTGAAATAACACACATCACCTTCTAGGTCACTTAGCTTCAACACACACAGTTTGTCTGGTGTATTTAGTAGAATCTTAAGTTGAGATAGATCCAGAGCTATGCGGGCTCGTGCCACTGTCTCTCTTTTTGTTAGTTTGGTTTGTGGCAACAGGAGAGGCGGGCAGAGAGCACCCACAGGAAATGGTACTGGAAAACTGTCCTCAGCAAAAAAAAAAAGAAAATGTAACAGCAACTGATTCGTTTGATTTCAGAAATTATTCCAAGTAACTTTGTTAGTAGTTCCAACAGAAAAGCACGAGTGCTTTAACAGACATCAAAACAAAACCCTCAACAAAATCCCAAAGAAGAGACTAATCCATTTGGAGTACATTCAGTAAGTTGATTAGCAGGATCATATCAGATAGGATCCTTTGTCTCTGTAAAGGGTGGCTTAGGTCTTCTGGAAACTGTAGAAAACCATGGTCCAAATGTCAGGAAGTCTGCTGGTGGAGATCATTATTTGTTATCAGAGGACATCCCACCGTTCTCTGAGGGTGTCTGTCAGAAAAACCCACGAAGCCTTTCAGAGAGCTCCTCGTTATTTAGCTCCACAGACTGGTGGCGGCTGTTTGCTGTGTGTGAATATTACCCTCCCGAACACTCTCAGGAGGTTGTTTACTCAGTCCACTTTGTTGTGTCTTTGCTGTGTTGGTGTGTAATGGATTTTCAGTTGCAATGTCATTTTACATTTTAAAGTGTGTGACTTGTAACTGAAAGAATGACCCATTTCCCACTTCTGAGCTGGTGGAGGTTCAGTATGAAGTTGTGGATCCAGATTAGGGGGTTGTTTTTCAGGAGCAAGCCTATTGATATTTATCCTCCAGGGCCTCCACCCTGAGCCACATGAAAAGCAACGGCTTGGCACTTGGTGTTTTGAGCTGAGATTTGAGTTCCTAGAAGGTTGCACAAAGGCCCTGTTGCCTAGCTGCGGCAAGGCGCCCGCTAAGACTCTGAGGCCTGCTCAGTGTGCGCGCCCCTGGCTGGACGGGATCCTCTGCAGAATCATCTGGAACGCAGCGGGACAGTCAGACTAAATCTTTTCAGTTTTTGGAAGGCTGGGGGAGCCATGCATTAGGGGTGGGACGGTTCACAAAACCCACGGTTCGGTTCGCTTCACGGTTTCGTGGTCACGGTTTTGGGTTCGGTTCGGTATACAGTATGTTGATTGTTAGGAAAATCTATTATGTCTTGTATAGTCAGGTTAAAACTGAAAGAAAAAAGCAGTGTGACATGTGATCCATTACTGTGACAGTCTGAGGTTAAAGTAGGTGAGATTCTGCCAGAGAGGAAACAGAGCTAATTCCAACATGTGCTTCCCTCTAAATGCAAACTGGTCCATACAGCAGACCTAGAAACTGCTGCTGGGTCTGATTTTTATGGGCTACGCTGCTTCTTCTTCTTCTGGTTTCCTACTGGTGGTTGGCTTTGGGCGCAGTAGCGCCCCCTTCTGCTCTGGAGTGTAAACGCTTCCCTCTGAGAAAAAGGAGCAGCAGGAACCGAACAAACCCACGCCAACCGAACCGAGACAGAACCCAACGGTTCAGACGGTTTTCAGAAACCCTCCCATCCCTACCATACAGGATTTCCCACAGGGCACCAGCACCCTCTCAGCTCACTGGTGGTTCTGGGCCCAGAGGGCTTCCTGCATGCTTGTGTGTTCATCAGTCTGTGCGGTCGCATTTCAAATTCATGTTGATGAACATCAGAAAACAGGTCAGTTCAGATTACAGTTTAGAATTAGGAAATTTTTAGTCAACATGTCTTTGGAAATAGATTTATAATGCAATAGAACCAGATGGATGAGCATTTTCACCACGACCCCATCAAAGGAATCCATGGCAGGCTGCTTGTGACATTACATAGTTCAAGCTTCCAGAAAGTGCTAGTGTGTTCATGTGAGCAAACGGGAACAAATCACCACGCATTGTTTATGTTGTTTAAATATGTTTGTATGTCAATATATAATTAAACATGAGCTGTTCAGTGAAGACAGATTGATTGCTGACCGGTTGATTGGTGCTCACTCCTGGACAAGTGCCTCTAAACTGATGACCTGAGTCAGGGTTCAGTTTGAGCAGAGGAATCATTCATTTTTCTCTGGGTTACATGGGGTGCAAGGTAGTAAAGTTTGTTTAAATTGTGTGTTTGTGTCTGCAGTGTTGTTTAGCAGGACAGGAAAAAGCAAGAGTTCTCAAACTAAAGCGGCTTTACAGAGTTATTTGGTTCTGTTTCAGTGGGTCAGTCAGAAGAATGGCTGCAGTTGTGTTTTCCGCTGTGACACTAATCCCATCAAGAACACTGAAGTTTGTTGTATTTCTGTGGATTCCTCATTGACATTAAATAGGAAAAGTAAAAAAAAAAATGCTTAAGGAATGTGTTTCCACTGTCAGTCATCGTGTGTCCAGACTGGCAGGCTGTTCATTCTAAGTGACAAAAGTCTCCAGAAGTATGAAGATAAAGATTTATTGTGCCAATTGTATCCATAAACCTTCATGCTTTGGGCCTTGGGCAGTTTCTTGGAGATTTTTCTGATAAAGCCAGCACACTGAATGACAGGGAGATTGCTCTTTAGACGTTTAGCTGGAATGCATTCCAGCGAGCTTGTAGAGACAGAAATGTCTCGTGTTCATCTCAATGATTGGGAGACATCAAGAGATACTGATCAGTGCTCTACAGAAAGCAAAAGGTCAAAGGATTTTACACATTTATTTAACTCTTTTACGCTCATGTTACAAAACGTTTTGTGGCTGTGTGTCCAACAGGAATTGAACTAACTGCAGGGAGGTTGTTCCACTGTCAGGGGAATATAGAAAAGGATGTGGTACATGTGGTTCTCATATAGCAGCTATGCTATAGCAGCCATTTTTCAGAAAATAGGAAATGTTGCCGCGGATGAAATGTTGATGAATTTGCTGCTGTCCAAATGCTAAACATCGTGGTTTCTTGGGGCTTTTTCTACATATAAATGAAGGAATGGGGGTCTTATGACTGGATCTGCCCTGTCCTTTTGGCTTCACATGTTGGAGTGGCCCTGCCCCTGTGGTCCCATGAGGACCCCATAACTACAGAGACCTTGACAGTGATGGCATTCTGCTCTGCCCGTTTTTCTACACTTTTTCCTGTTTGCCAAGCTACGGCGTTTCCAGCCTTTGTGGCCTGTTTTCACTCCTGGTTTCCTGCTCTTTTCCCAACAGATGAGAGGATGAAGGGGGGGAATCCTTTCACTTTACGAACAACAAAAAACTGCTGGCAGCCTCTCTAGCTCTTGTATGAGCCCTGGATCTACCATGAGTTAGAGAGCATCAAAAAACAAGTTCCACCCCTGCATCCCCACCTTCTGGAGCCCAGAGTTTGAAGCCTGTTGCATCACTTGCCCTACTTCATGAGCCAGCAGGATGCAGCCGAGGTCCTCGCACTCTCCGAGCGCCTCCTCATAGCCTCACACAAGGGACAAGCGGACAATGTGGTCCAGCTTATCAACAAAGGTGCCAAAGTCGCTGTAACCAAGGTGAGTGATCCCAGACATTCTTTTGGTGCTTGTGAAAATTGGGTTTGGTTCATAGTTTCCTCTGATGTTTTCCCTGACAAAATGCATGAAAACCATCACCTCCAATGGATGTGTCAGACAGAAGTGCTCGTCCCTCCAGGACTACACCAGTGTTCACATCCAAACTGAATCTCTGTCTTTGCTCAGCTGGATTTCTGACCAGCTAACTTTAAGATCATGTTTCCTCTGCTGCTGAATCGTTGCTTTGCATTACTGAACATGAGAAAGATACAGCTGTACCAAAGCCAACATCCACCCAGCTCCTGGTCAGTCCATGTTCCTCTCCCACTACTGCAAGCCTCCCCTGATTGGTCTGCAGATTAAATAGTGACATTAAAAAGATGCGGGTTTGCTTTTGAAAAGAAATTTGCCCACAACAAATCCAAACAAAGTGTTGTTGCTAAAAGTGTTGACTGTAATCAGAAGCCCTTTTTTTTTTTTTTTTACATTTTTTTTTTTATTTTAACAGGAGAACAAGAAACATACATATATACACTTACAAATACTTAAACTAGACCAGACAAAAACCAAAAGGACATATACACAAGGTGGAAAAAAAATAAAAAAATAAAAAGGGGGTCCCTCGACAGACTAACCTACATAAACATCAGTTTGCCTCACCATATGGCCTTATAACCAATCCTCTTTCCATCCATCAAGTTGGATATCATTTTGACACAGCCAAGTGTAAAAGACAGACCAGACCACCCAAAATGTATCAAGCTTATTCTTAGTAAAATAACTGATTTTCTCAAGTGCAAAGTAGAACTCTTGCGTGGTCCATTGTGAAATCACACATAATGTCCCTTTCTTCCAAGAGAGTGCAGTGCAGCGTTTGGCTTCAGAAGCCCTTTTTACATAGTACAGAATAAGCTCGCTACATCTGCTATCTGTGATCTGTGCTACACACACACACACACACACACACACACACACACACACACACACACA